TGGTAGATATGATGATTTTTTTTACATATTTTTATGAAACAATACTGTTTGCATACTTACATAATTAATCCAATTTTTTTTCTATAAAATAGAACTTGTATAAGGCCTGTTGTGATCTATGGAGGTACACAAACAGGCCATTCAATTCGTCAGGTAATGCAAGGCTGTAATATACTATGTGCCACTCCAGGAAGGCTTCTAGACATCATTGGAAGAGAGAAGGTAAGATCTTAAAACTTAGTCTGAGTTCCCTAAACACTCTTAGCTTTTTACATACTGGTTTTCATTCTTCAAATTCGATGGAAGCAAAGATGGAGCCATGAAAACCAGTCAGCATGCTGCCTTTGTACAGGCACTTACTTAAAATACAAATGAGCTTTTCTTGGAATATCTGAATACCATGAGGTTTTTGAAAGAGTAGCATAAGTTAAGATCTCTTCAGTCCCTTTCAGGGCTCACTGGAAAATATTCTAAATCAAACTGGCTGCAGCGTTCTTGGCAATTAAATTTTATAGTTTAAATACATGGAACACCTTCTTTTAGTTCTTGTGGGAAATTCCATAGCAGATTTTCACTTGACATCCTGTTTGTTTTGCTACAATAGCTTTTATCTGTCTGGAACTATGCTAATATTCATTCTTTGAATGTTTTGATATTGATTTTATTCAAAATATAAAAAAACTCCAGGTGTAATATTGTATTTGAATTTTTATTTTTCCAGCCATTATAAATTCAAATCGAAATTGCTACATGTTATAATGGTGACTCAGTGATGTTGCACTGGACAAATGAAGTCTGGAAAAACACTTCTTGGTAATAAACTGGAGATTGGCTTTCTGCGGTTTTCAGGCTTCTAGTCAAAATGACAGTCTTGGTCAGCAACCGTGAAGTTGTAATGTCCTTAATAATGCTTTCTGACATAATTTTTTTTCAGAACAAGGAGGTTTTTGAGAATGTGTGAGGGTTATATGAGAGAACCTTTCTAAAACTCAGACATAATTTCAAAATAGATGTGCTGAATAATAGTCAATCTGTAGGTTCTATCTTGGTTTACATTACTGAACCAAGTTCTGAAGCATTTCAGTGTATGCATACTGTTAGAATTATTGCAGATTAAAAACTTAAGTAGAGGATGAGGTGCAAATAAAGCATATAATGCACATAGGCTTTTATTTGTGAATAATTAACTACTACTAGAAAGAAATAAATAAAAGGTGGATTTTGGCAATTAGGACATTCTATAAGTGTATACTGTCAGTGAGCCAATACAGTTTTTCTTTCACTGAAATACTTGCAGATTGGTTTGCATAATGTGAAATATTTGGTGCTGGATGAAGCAGACCGCATGCTTGATATGGGTTTTGGGTTAGATATGAAGAAGCTGATTTCTTACCCAAGCATGCCACCAAAAGACAAACGTCAAACACTAATGTTTAGTGCCACTTTTCCTGAAGAAGTTCAGAGGTGAGTAAAATAAAAATGGAAATATATCTGAAGATGTACTTCTATAGAGCTAAATGTCTGAAGAGTTGTTAAGGGCACTCCTTATGTTTAAAAGCTCATAATCTTGCTAGAAGATACTGAAAAGCTATGATGTTAACATTCCTTGCTGAAGAATTCCTTTTTTTTAGGTAACAGAACTAGTAACTTGCATAGATTAACTGCTTAATTTAGGTGGGGACTCTAAAGCAACTTGGAGTTTGTCTGAAGGCTTTTAAATTCCACTGCTGCAGAAGTCCTCCTGCTGCCCCTGTTTGTTTCTTGTCCCTTCCCCACCGCATCCGTGCAAGCTCAAAAACAGGGATCTTGCTGTTTAATGAGCAGCATTGGTAGCACTGTCTTTGGCACCAGGACATAATATAATCAGACACCCGAACTATTGCTCAGCTCACCAGCCTTTCTGATATACAGTTCTTATTTACATGCATAAGTGCTGTTTGGTTTTGGTAGTTTTAAAGCTTCCACAGATGGGTTTAGGATATATCTTACAGCTCTCCTACTCACTACCCTTAAAGTTCCACTTCCCAGACTCTGAGAGAACAGTCTTCAACAGATGGTAGTGGGGTTGCTGAGCCTGGGAGTAACAGAACAAAACACCCCATTCCCTGTAGCTGGATAGAAATTATTCAGTATTTCCACTTTTGAAGAGACAGGCATCTGAATACTCTCTTGTAAATCAGAGGAGTCTAAACTTCAATTTGAGTGGTTGACATAATTTTGGTGGCTTTTGTGGTAGGGATACTGTTGTGACAGAATCACTAAAAAATACCAGTAAGCATGTTACAGTTTGAAAGCATGTAAACTGATCAGACAGTTGCAGTGAAGTATGTTGATACTTCAGTGAGTCATATCCTGACAACTTTCTTCTGGCTTTCAAAAAGCCTGAAAGATCTTTTTTGAGGCAGGGAGAAAAAGTCTTCAGTTGACTGTCCTGAATGAAAGAGGGGAATGGGCTGCTTTCTCCCATTCAATCAGTTAATACTGAGAGCTGTTGGGGAGATGAATTGCCTTTCTTCTAAGTAGGATTGAATTCACTTTAAACTCAGTCTTAAGTCACCTGTTGTGGCTTTGGTTCCTCAGTCAAGACTTTTTTCATGGAGTTTTTTGTATCGAAAGAAGATCTTGTAGTGAAGTAATAATGGTCTTGTTTTCGCAGCTGGGAATGAAGTGTTCAAATGATACTGTACCTGAGTGTTTCATTCCATGTGTTTACTGCTTGTGCAGGAATGTGGTGTCACTTCACACTGCATCCTGGGAAAAGATGAGGTGTGTCTCCCTTTAAGATGCACAGTGTGCTCTGATTGGCTCAGGTTTTGCGGTTGAGAGAGGAATCTTGACCCCTTGATCTCTAGATCTGTTGTCTTTTATCAATGTGTTTTTGCTAGTGCTCTTCCTATGTGTTTTTGCTACATACTGAGGGATGAGTAGAGTACTGTAACTACCATCACCTGAAAGGAGGAGATCCCTTCAACTGTGCAAGACATTTACTGTCTGCTTCTGTTTAATGAAAAACAAAACAGATCTACCTTTCTACTGTCAGTCTTGCAGGATTTACAAGTACTGGTAGAAAACTTCAGAAACCTGAGTGCTTGGATCATGGTTTGGAAGTGCATAATAATGTTCTTGTAGCCTTTTGAAACTGGAATGCCTAAAGGTGATGTCCTCATTATAGACAGGGAAAACTCTTCTTGTCTGGAGTCAATTTCTTCCTGGATTTACTGCCTTTCTGATTCTGGAGTCAGGAAAGCTAATGTTTTCCCATACTCTGCTACCAAAACAACTTTGGACAGTATCTACTTCAGTAGTATAGGACAAGGTGCTTTCTTTGGCCCTGCTGGGTTCAGGCTCTCCTGCATTTCTATTCAGTGAGAGTAATCAGATTTAGTTTTAACATACCGTTTGGTTCTGTACCTGAATTTGGGTCTCTGCTGCTAAATAAACCTTTGGTCTGATCATCAAGGCTCTTCCTGTGCATGTGAGTTGAGAGAACCGTGCATTTCCTAGCTGACTGGTGAACTTCAGCTTAGCATTTGGGGCCTTATATATCTCCCATTAAAAGGTCTCTTCTGCCTTGTCTCCCTTTCTGTTTTTTGTTTACTGTTCCATTTCCAGAGAGTTTAAACTTGCCCTTTACTTTCAGTTTAGAACTTCGACTCTGTGAGATCTTAAACCAGTTAGATCTTAAGACCAAACACATTTAAATCTCTAGTAACCTGTTTATTTGCTATGAAAAACACCTTTTCAGTGGCAATTACTCCTATAAATCAGGTGGGAGATTCAAGTCCGTAAGGCAGTCCTTTAATATTTTTAAGACTTTCCTCTTTTTTTAGGAATTTGTTCTAAAACTTGAGATTGCCTGCCTTCAGTTAAAGGTTGACTCGTTTACCATCTGAATTTTACTGCAGTGGAAGCTGCTGTGTGTACACTGGACATGAAGCACATTTGTGTATTGATACATTAATACAGTTTAGTACAACTCTCAAGTATTATGGGGCATTCGAAGGAATGATCTATTTTGGCAAGTTTGAGCTCTCAGATAAGATCACCTACGTGAGGCATAACTGAAGAGGAATGCTCTCTGAACAAAACTTGACTTTTGCCTATGGCAACTGGTAAATACATGCCATGTAATAAACTGTGTGTTTTTAAGCACTGCTTTTGTTGAACAGTCAAAAAGGATGGTGGTGTCTCCTGGAGGCCTGTTTTGAATTCTGATCTGTGTAGGATTCTCCACTGGCCCTCCAGCTAGTGATGAAATAGTGCCCCGAGAACAGTTCTGTGAGCATATATGTCAGTAAGCCATTTTATTACAAGCATATATGTGGAACTCTTTCTGAGATGGCTAGAAAAAGCAGTGTTTGTATTATGAAAAGCTGCAGGGACGTAATGAGTCTGTGTACCTTCTTATTGATCAGGTTTTTATACAGCTGTCTAGAAAACAATACAGACCCTTTCAGCTTTTTAAAAAATGCACATATGACTACTTATATCCTCTGCCTTGTGAGGAATGATACAAGTATTTGTTGTGAGGGTTGCTTAAACATAAATGAAGTTACTTGATCTTACAGCAAAAATAAGCTACATAATAGACTTCATCTTGCTCAATTTTGCTTCTTTTCAAGGCTGGCTGGTGAATTTTTGAAAACTGATTATTTATTTGTTGTTGTTGGACATGTGGGTGGAGCTTGCAGTGATGTTCAGCAAAATATTCTTCAGGTTCCTCAGTATTCCAAGAGGGATAAACTGATAGAAATTCTACAAAGCATAGGTAACTTTCCTTATTGCTAATTTTTTTCCAGGGAAGATGTAACTGCTTGTTTTTAAACTTGTGCTCTTGCTATTGACCAGGTCATGATTCCATTCTATTATGTGCTACATGCTTTACAAGACTGCTGATTGGCGCTTGAAGCAGACCTCAGAGAGCTCTAGGTTTTTAGGCATATTTGTGTTACGGGTATTTGCCAAGTTCTCATCTCTATTGAGTACTATCAGACAAGCTTCCCAGATGGATAGTTTCTTTATATGGTCAATTACAATACTTCAACATCTGGGGGTGTTATCTCCAGATTATAGGTGTATTAATCTTCTTACGTGAACATTTGGGCCTATATTTTGTTAATGGCTGGGATTTTTCCATTTTTTGCTCTGAATGTATCTTATGTTTTAATGCTGAAACCTGGAAGGGTGTTTGGAATTAAAAAATGGTCTGTTCAGTGCTCAGAATGGCGTGCCACTTCTAGCCACATGCTGTAGAAAGGGAGTGCATACGTATCACAGAGAACAACATTTGTTTCCTCCCTTTATTAAGGAGAAAAATACAATGCACTTGTCTCTACCTAGGTTTCTGTGTTGATCTAGAAATCGATGGATTCAATTTAATCAGTTCAACACAGGCAAGAAATTACAATCATGCCTTAAAGACTTTATTCAAAACCCGTTCTGATATTAGGTATTCATATAAGTAACTGCAACTGTGATTAGTGAAAATGCATCAGGTTTCAAACTGCAGTGGATCTGAACTCTTGTTTAACATAGGCCATGAACGAACCTTGGTGTTTGTGGACAAAAAGAAAAAAGCAGACTACATTGCAGCCTTTCTTTGTCAAGAAAAAATACCAGCCACTAGCATCCATGGGTAAGTATTTTTTAAGTGGAAGTCAGGTAATAGTACTAAGAGAAAGTCACTTAATACTATATCTTATGAGAAGCTTTTATTGAGATTTCATGTTTGGCCATATCTGTGTGACTTAGCTTGCCTTGTTTCAGATAGCCCTGTAATGGTCAGCAGCTCTGCCCAATTGAGAATGTAGTGTTTCTGAAGGCCAGTTCTCGCAGCATTTGCTGAGTATGCATTTTTCTAGTTGACCACACTTCAGATGCTGTATATGAACTGGAGAATCTTATGCCTACTGCTAAAAAAAAATTAGTACATAATAAATTCAGTAGAATCAGTTGTTGGTCATATGTAGTTTTTGTCATCATTTGTGTGACCAAAACCAGACCTTTTGGTGTTACTGGTGAGATATTTGTAAATTCAAGTGGCAGCTGTGGACCTTCCACTCTGTCTTATAGGCTTCCTCAAAGTGACGAGATAAGTCGGGTCATGCACCATACAGATTTCTGCTGTCATTTCTGCCTCCTTGATGTGTTCATGGACAGATTGATCTCCAGACAAATGCTAAAGAAAAGATGGTTCTAACTTGTGTTTGAAGGTGAAATAGTTGCTAATTCCACGTCTAAACCTGTCTAAAAAGATGGTCTGTCTTTCCAGTGAGCTGGAATGTAGTTCTGTAGTGTTTGTTTATGTGTCAAAATGTAGGACAACAAACTGAATCTTAAGATTCCCAGTGAACTGCAGCACATAAGAAGTGTAATTTTGCAATATTTTTCATCTTGTAATAGGAGGAAGGGACTTGAATTCTTGCCAATAAAATGATGTTTTGGGCAGTGTTCTGACAGACATCAGAATATCAAGGTTGTAGATGGGTTAAAATGATCTTAGTACACAGATATGAGATGTTTGTGTGTGTCCTGTGCTCTATTAGTTTTACAGGTATATGAAGGGTCATCTTGATAAGATCTGGCTTTCTGTTCTTGGCTAACCTGAATTGCTATCCCACAACCTGTCTTGTGTGGGAGGAGGTTCTTAACATGTTTCTGTAGAATTATTACACTGTGAGTTAAGGTAGACTTACAAAGAGAATAACTGGTTCCATGGAAGCTGCTGAACTGTCATGAATGTTACTGATTTCTGATTCACTTGAGTTTTTCAAGTTGAAGTTAGTTAGGATAGTTGCTCTTCTCTGGAATAGTGGTCGTACCAGACTTAACGAAGTGTGCTGTGTTAGATTCAAAAGAGCGCTGCTTTTTAGCTTTCTGATTTGTTCTCTCATTTGGACAACAAAGAACATGGGTTAAACTCTGACCTACTGTATTTAAGTACTGGATAATCTGTAAATATTCTTTAAAAATGCAAACCCCAGAGCAAATGACGACAAACAAAAGGCAAGTTCTATACTGTTGGCTGGCCATGCTTTCTAGTATATCTGAAAAATTGCCTATGCAGGAGTCTAGGTAGACTTCATCTTTGCTATTCTGGCTCCCTGCTACAAAGCGGTAGGAAAAGCGCTTCTAACGACGCCATAAAGAAACAATCAGTTAAGTGGATCTTCTTAGGAAGGCAGTGAGTTAGATACATGACTATCTCTGGATCTTTTAAAAAAAAAAAAAAGAATTTCTCTAGAGACTTAGGTTAAAATAGTTGCGGTGTCTTAACTGCTAGTAAGCTAACAATTCACAAAATGTAAACTGGTAGTGTGTGGGTTGTTGCTTTCCTCCCCTTGCGCACCCCACCCCCCCCACCCCAAGAACTACTTCTGTCCATGAATCATGACCTTTTAACTTGTATCTTAAATAATACTTCCGATTTTTTGAGACACCCATTCTAACTATTGATGTCTTTGTAGAGATAGAGAACAGAGAGAGAGAGAAGTAGCTCTTCAGGATTTTCGTTCTGGGAAATGTCCAGTTCTCGTGGCAACTTCAGTGGCAGCAAGAAGGCTGGATATTGAAAACGTTCAACATGTTATTAATTTTGATCTTCCTTCCACCATTGAAGACTATGTACACCGAATTGGACGAACTGGTCGTTGTGGAAATACAGGCAAAGCAGTTTGCTTCTTTGATAACAGTACAGATGGCCATCTTGCACAATCTCTAGTTAAAGTGCTTTCAGATGTAAGTTTCAAATCTTGGTGCTAAACTTCTTCTGTGCTTTAGATTTCACTTTAATATACTGAGCAACTATTATTTCTTTGGTACAGTTATGGACCTCTTAATATAGAATCATAGAATCATTAAGGTTGGAAGAGACCTCCAAGATCATCGAGTCCAACCGTCAACCCAACACCACCATGCCCACTAAACCATGTCCCTAAGCGCCTCATCTACCCGTCTTTTAAATACGTCCAGGGATGGGGACTCAACCACTTCCCTGGGCAGCTTGGTCCAATGTTTAACCACTCTTTCAGTAAAGAAATTTTTCCTTACATCCAATCTAAACCTCCCCTGGCGCAACTTGAGGCCATTTCCTTTCGTCCTTTCGCCAGTTACTTGGGAGAAGAGACCAACACCCACCTCGCTACAACCTCCTTTCAGGTAGTTGTAGAGAGCAATGAGGTCTCCCCTCAGCCTCCTTTTCTCCAGGCTAAACAACCCCAGCTCCCTCAGCCGCTCCTCATAAGGCTTGTTCTCCAGACCCCTCACCAGCCTCGTTGCCCTTCTCTGGACACGAAGCAGTCAAAGTCTCTAAATTCACTTTTCTAATTATGTAGGCCCAGCAGGAAGTTCCTGTTTGGTTGGAAGAAATTGCTTTTGGTTTTCAAGGAGAAAGAATCTTTACATCAGTTAATACCCAAAAGGTGAGTCTGAGAATGAACTGGAAGTCTTGGCTTCTGGAACTTTTTCTCAGTATAAAAGTGTGTTTAGCAGTATATATCCAGAGTAATGCCACTGAAACTGTTCCGATGGTAACTGTCCCTTATTTTAGTTGTGCATCATCAAAATGCCCGGTATTTCTGAAACTAATTTTGGACAACTTGCTTGACTTGGACTTTTACAGTGTGGCCTTACTAACTGCGTTAGTCTTCATCTGTAGTGTCAAAAATTACTCTGTGGAAGAAAAGGCTTGTGCAAACATACACAAAGGCTGTAGTACCAGAAGTTTCTCTGCTGCACATGTAGGGTAGGAGCAAATAGTGGCTAGTTATACAGTCACTGCTTGTTACGAATCGCTCAGTCAAGTAAGTCATTTGACTAAAACCAAACTAAAACAAACCAAATTTGCTAATTATAGTTAGATAAATGCCCCAATCTGATCCATGTCAAAATTATTCTTGATGTCTGTGATGAGGAGGAGCCTTCTGGTCTCTGTTAGTGTTGGTGGTGCCAGATGTTAAAATACAGCTTGAGTAAATGAGACAGCCTAGGTGGCATAGCTCTGAAATCACTCGGCGGTCATTAGTTCAGGATTTAAATTCTATGCCTACTCCTACTTCAAATGACTCTTTTTTTTCAACTGATGTTTGATACTTCTTGCTTTTATCTGCTTGGATTTTAATGCCTGTATCAAAAGGCTTTTCTTGATCTCTTGCTTCCATAAGAGCTTTATCACATGTCAGTTGCATTCCAAATATTAATACTCTCTTAGAGACCACAAGAAAAATAATTGCTCTCACTGCTTACACAATATCTGAAGCTCGAGTTCAAGCTCAGACCTTCCTTTCATTAATTATCTTTTTCTATACCATAATTATTGAAAGTAATGGGTGTTTTGGGTGTGTTTACCTGCCTGACTAGTTCCCTCATCAGATCTGATTCTTTTTTTATTTGGGTCTTCATGGGACCTCAGTTACACACTTAAACTTTTTCTTCCTTCTCACGCTTACAGCCTCAGTGGATCTTTCTTCTTTCAAGGACGCTTTTTTAACTTTTATAGATTGCTTTCAAAGGTGGATCTCATCAACTTTTGAGTCTAGATTGCTTCCAAATACACATCTCCAACCTTTGTGGAGCGTCTTCCAGCATTTCATGAAATCTGTCATTTCTAGGTCCAAGTCTGTCCTTCATGTCCTTTACAGCCTCTGAGTTACCAAATCTGACTGTGGCTCTTTGTCCACGTACTTGTGAATAGAAGAGTTTCAGGGGAAATCTGTCTGTTTGCCTTGGGAGTACTGCCCTCTTAATCACATATATGCAACGCACCAACTCTTGAGTTGGAGATCATCAGGTTCTAATTCCTTTCTTACGAGACCTTCTGATGTCAGTGATTCTGACAGAAACTGCGCATTTGTAATCAGCCCTCTTTTTTTCTTTGAAATTAACTATTAAAGCTGTTTTTTGCTGTTTTACTATTACTGAAAGAGAGGCTTTTATTACCTAGTGTTCAATAAAGATCCTGATGCCCTTTCTCCTGAGGAAGAAAGATAACATCTTATTTGTGTTTTTACAATATTCACTTTCTCTTTCAAAGGGAATGCATGAAAGGGCAATTTGATGATCAAATGATGAATTTGAAAGAGGAATCTGTTTGAGGCTCTTATTTGATTATTTTGGGACAATCTTATGGATGATTTGACTTCATCCTTTTTCCAAAGGAAAAGGATTTTGCTGGGAAAGTAATGCAGACAGTCATACTTAAATAAGAAATGGAGAAGGAAGTTTTTCCCCAAAGTTGTGTGAACTGATTTGTGTTGGGTAAGAGAAGAACTTGGGATTTGAACTTTGGGAAGGATTATTCCCACACCTGATAAAATCTGAGGTTGATTAAAGTGCATTAATTTCACACTGGGGTCTAAAAACATTATGTATGGAAGTTTAATGGTGAAGGAACTTCTGTATTTATTTAAAAAATACGATGTTCAAATTACATTGAGACATGCATGCTGAAAGCTAAAATTGTTTTGTAGTGACTTTTACTGTTAAATGATTGAAAGTGTTAATGATTCTAAACTAATACCTGTTCTGTTTCCTAGAACTATGGAGCCAGAGCCAACATGAACCCAGGAGGAATGAAGATGTCATATTCTGCAAGTGCATTTGAGTCATGGGATTAAAACTACTTTAGTACCAAACTTAATGTTCCTTACGGTTGAGCTTATGGAACACTTATTGTTTAAAAGAGTAGCTCGTATCATATGCTAAAGCTTTCAGCAATGTAATGCACTCTGTTATGATGAACCCAGTGATGATTATCACTTAATGTAGGAAGTCAAAAGCAATTTTTTAGGAAATGCTTCAGGTATTAAGCGTTAAAACTTTCAGTAAGTGTTTGATGCTTGGTAGCTAGTATGCTGCTGTAAAAAGATGGGGGTTTTGCAAGTGGAAAATAGTAGATCCCTTGAACTTACTACTTCATTTCCAAAATTTTGCATGGGAAGATAGTCTTCTAAAGACCTAGTTTGGGGAAGAGCTTTATGTAAAGGGCTCATCTAAACTTAATGTTCGTTCCTTTTTGTAACAGGTCAGTTATAAAATTTGAATCTAGCGATGAGAGGACTTAATCTTAACGATCTGTTAAACATCTTGTAAACAGTTACTTAATAAAAGCTTGAGGAGTGCATATTGATGGTTGCTTCTACATTAGATATACAAAAAAAGCATATGTCATTGCAGTTTCAAACTGGTATTATTCTGACATGCATGGAACATGTGCATCTCCATATGGAACTAAAGGTTCAGTGGCTACATCCACAACTTAGTTGAAATACATGTTTTTACAGAGCTGTCTTCAGAGAAAGATGGAGCCCTGTGTTGCTTCTAGTATAATGTTTTTGCCTTTGACAGACTTTTTTGTTACCTCTTGTGGAAAAATTTGCTTTAGGACAAGCTTGGTGGCTCATGTCCAAGCCAGTTTCCCAGACTTGTAGAAGCTATAGAGGGTAAGCAGCTGTTAAGAGTTCAAGGAGACTTCCTTAAAGTTGCTTTTTCTTTGAAATTTTTTTTTATTTACCAGTGCAGTATGCTACAAAGATGCATATCCTTGTGTCCCACAGGGAAATGGCAAAGTAATTGTAATCATAATTGGTAATGTCTTGCACAGCTGAACAAGCTTACAAGCTTCTCATGTTCTCTGGTATTTAGCACATAATGCTGAGCACTATTTCTTGTACAGTTTTCCTACTTAATACAGGGAAATAATACTTCTAAGCTCTGCTTACAAGACTGAAGGTTTAATGCCCAAGTTTGTGAGAATCAGAACTGATTTGGGCAGTACTATGGAACCTATTATTGTGGAAAAGCAGGCTGTCATTTTTCTTTTTAGTATGAATATCTTTTCAAAAGTATTTATTTACTTAAATATCTAATTACAAAAATAACAGTATTTTTGTAAACTGTAGTGTTACTGCTACATAATGTACAAAAAAGCAAAATAAGTCTTAATTGTGTACTTGGAAGTGAGCTGAAGGGATGGTATACCTAAATTGCAACTCATAAGCAGTGGATGTACTTAAACTTGAAGTCTATAATTCAGAGTACAATACCCTGGGCAGCATGACTCCTGACACGTCTCCTTGAGATTTTTGCATCCGTTCTGAATTTCAGGTAAGAAATTGGGGGTGCTTTTGGTTGCTGGCTGCAACAAATGCAAGTGAACTGTAATTTTTGGAGGAAGCTGTACAGCTGATGAAGTCTTCTGTTTCTGTGAAAAGAAAACAGAGGAAATACAGTCATGGGCCACTTGTAATCTAGAATAAACCTATGAAGGGGAATGTGGCTTAGCCTAGTTTAAAGGACCGCTTAGATCACTGGG